ATTTGCAGATCACATATTCCACAAGGACTAGTATCTTATTCTAGTTCTACATATTGAAAAAAATCAAGGCAAAAAGCGCCCAAGACATGAACAGATGTTCTACTACAGAGGATGCACAGGTGTAATGAAGTGCAGGGTGATATGTTCAGTATCACCAGCCGTTAGGGACACACACATTAAACCACCGTGACAATCTCTCCATGTGATGGGAATGGCTAAGAGTTTTGAAAATTTTAAAAAATGCACACAAACTTGTCTACCTATTTATTTATAAGACAGTTAGTTCCAGCATTATTTGTGACACGGGAAGTTAGAGACCACGTAAATGCCCTGCAGATGGAGACTGTTAAATAATGTGTAGAATATAATACAGGCATTAAAAGGATGGGCCAGGGCTGAGGCTATTTCTCTATTCTGCATATAGAAATTTCCATAAGGGCCTGTGCTGACAGAGGCTTTCGGTTTATTTTTGGAATTTTACAATGGATATATCTCCTTGGTACCTGCATATTTCCAATAAATGAAAAAGATAAATTTCTGGCAATACTTGTCGAGAAAGAAAGAAAAAGAAAATATATAAAACAACATGAACACAAATAAAAAGAATAAGAACAAATATTACCATGGATTTTTTAAGACAACTCAATGCATTCATTTAAATTAATAAATGTGGAAAAGTCAAAAAATAAGAAAGTAATAACAATAGAGACATTGACTAAAGTAAAAGTTAAGAAAGAAATAGAAAAAAGCTGGGAGAGAGTAGAAACTTATGCCAAATAACTGTTTTATAAAATAGTGGTAGGGCCAGAGAATTATACATTTGGATGCAAATATCCATCAAGGAACAGAAAATTCCTTAGATTGAAGTTTCTCAACTAATTTTTATGAAATACTATAGTCATAAAACAAAATACTGAAAGTAGGAAAAAAACAAAACTAGAAATTGATTGCAAGTATGAATATAGATGAAAAGTCATAAATAAAAAATAGCTAACAGACTCCAGAAATGTTTTAAAAGACTATGAAGATTTAATTCCAGTTATGTTCCATGTAATCTAATCTTGAGCCTCTATTAATATAAACTATTGTACCAATGCATTCAAATTAAAAATAGATAATCTTAACAGATGTCAAAAAACCTCTTTGATAAAATTTAACCTCTATTTAATTTTTTATAAGACTTAATAAAATATGAATAGGACTTCATCATCATAACATTACAAAATAGCTATCTGAAACCATCTCTTAGGATCATGTTTAACAGAGAATAATTAAGGGCTTCTAATCAAATTCAGGAATAAAAACTGATGAGACAAATTAATATCTAATTAATATCTACTGCTATTTTGGTAGTTGTAAACAAAATAGCAAGATAGGACAACAAAGCAGGATCCACAAATTGTGGAGGGCAGGAGACATAATTATTTCTCCTGATAAACTACAGGATCAAAGATATAATTGTATAGTTAAATGTGAGTAACAAAAAAAAAAAAAGTTCCTGAAAGCCTTGCATACCACTCATGGCTTCTTATAATATAAAATAACTTATAAAACATACCTACTAGAACAATAAAATATTTAAAATACCTAGAACTAAACATAAAAGTCAACATATATATTTTTTAAAACTAGAAAAACGTAATGCTATTTACAGCAAAGTAAATTGCAGAGCTGTGAAATACATATCAATATTTAAAAATGAGATCCTAAACTACTGGGGGGGGTATAGGGAAATTATTTATAATCCTTGAGTGGGAAAATCTTTTTTGGGGCAACAATAAGCCAGAAACCATAGCAGTAAAAAATAAAATCAATATGAGTACCTAAATTTCCACCTAGAAAGAATACCATTAAAAATATGAAAAGGTGGGGCCTCCCTAGTGGCGCAGCGGTTGAGCGCTGGGTTGCGAGGCTGCCCGCAGCCTCTGCAGAGCTGGTTCGGTGTCCGTGCTCTCCTCAGCAGTGTATTTCTTCGTCAGTCTGCCTGTTCTGCTCCCCACTCTGGCTCTGGTGAATTCTCTCACCTTCCCACGCTTCTGACTGTACCCAGTGCTTGTATAAATAAATAAATAAATCTTTAAAAAAATATATGAAAAGGTGAATAACAAGCTATGAAATATATCTCATCCCACATGAAGATGGCAGTTTCCTTAATATAGGGAGTGCTTTTATAAATGAATTATGAAAAGTAAAAACCAAACAGAAAAAATAGGCAACAGACATGAAATGCTAGTAAGCAGATAAAGAAATATATCTTGGGACCTCCCCGGGGGCACAGCGGGTTGGGCACAGCACTGAGAAGCTGTCCGCAGCCTCTACAGTGTGGGTTTGAGTCTTGGCCGGCCAGGGAGATAACCACATGGTGCGGCAGACCTCTCCTGACTCACCCGCTGTTCCCCTCAGCAGTGTTTTTGGTCCGTCTGCCTGTTCTGCTCCCTGCTCTGTCTCTGGTGAATTCTCTCACCCTCCATGCCTCTGGCCTGTACCCCAGTTCTTTATAGTTAAATAAATCTTTAAAAAAAAAAAAGAAATACATCTTATAACAAATGCAAAAGATGCTTGACCTCACTTATAACTAAAGAAATACAACATTACAGACTAAGATTGACAAAGACAAAGGAATCCTGATTGCACTCAAAAATGTGTGTAGGTTTGGATAATATGACACAGGCATCTGGTGTAGGCAAAAGTCTGGTGTCCCAGTTTTGGAGGACAATTTGGGAATAATATTCTAAATTTAAAGTGCACTCAGGCTTTGACTAAGGGATGCTCTTAGTAATTTCGTCTCCCCATCTATTTGCTCAGTCCTATCTTGTTTGCCCCACAGCTTGCACCTCAGCCAGTTCCTACAACAGCAGCAAAAGACATTCAATATTTGTCAAGCAATGAATGTGCACAAAGGGTCCTCTTCTCTGCCTTGTTTGTTTTAGTAAAAGACTAGAAACATCCCTAACCTATACTTCATTAAGTGGTGGTTAAATAAATACTCATCCATCCATGCAGTGGGATTCTCTGCTGCTCTCTATTTAACAGCTGGGAAACCTCCAAGTGCTGATGTGCAAATGTCGCCAAGCTACATGGTTGGCTGACAAAAGCAACGTGAATAATTGTGTGTGGAACAGATGCCCCAAGTGTGTGCAAACAAAAATACACAAAAATATTCACAGAAATATCTGGTTACCAAAACTTTCTGAAAGGAGGTGTTATACATATGTATGTCTCTTTATTACATTCATATTTATAATACTTTCGGGTTAGTCTTAATTATGCAGAGGAAAACAGCACAAACACACAAATATGGAAATGTACTAAATATCCCAAAGGGGAAAAAAAAACTACCCTTAAAAGTGTATAAAAGTAACTGGGATAAACCAAAGCACATACAACGCGCCTAAAGGGAAAATATGGTGGTGTTAAAATGTCAATTCTCGCCCAATGTAACCTGTAGTTTTAACATGATTCCAATTCAATTTTCAAATTAATTCCTTTTGAGTTTTATTTTAACTCATCTGGAAGATTACATTTTAGAGAATAGGCAAAAACATTTTTAAGTAGATTCAAGTCTCAAGTGGAGGTGGGAGCACAGCTTTGCCCTGGAAATTATAAAAATACAAAGTTAATGTAATAAAATAGGTTGGTTCTGAAATATAAGTAAACACACAGATGATTGGGATGGGATGAAAAGTCCAGAAATAGATGTATCTCTGTGTGTGTGTGTGTGTACACATGATTCTGCTGGTAGAGTAGTTAACTGTTGTTTTTGATCATCCAGCAAACATTCGCTATTATCCCCTCACCCCAACCCTTCCTCAGCACTTAGCTTCATTTTGGGGAATTACATCCTCAATCCCATTAGCCAATCATATGCTTCCTCCCTGAATTCTGACTCTAGAGCAATGGACAAAATGTTAAGACTGGAATTGCTCATTCCTGCAGAAGGTGTATCCTGGTAATTTCAGGGTTCCCATGGCAGGCCCCAACTCTAGAGCAGGTTTCTGCACCCACAGAAACTCCTTTGGGTTCATCCACTTTTTAAGCCTAATCTCTAGCCCCTTGGTTGCCATCAGTTCCACTATCCTTCCATAGTTAGTTTCTGGAATTCTGTAGGGGCCTCTGCATTGAGCAGAGCCCACTCACACTAGTCCTGCTGGTCTTGGAGATAAGGACTGCAGGGGGTGGCAGGCCTCCCAACAGCTGACTCTTGGACCCAAAAGAGCATAGTTGTGAGAAATGAAGCCACGGCCCCACTGCAGAAGAGCTTCAGGCAATTCAGTCTTGCTCCCGACATCTCAGAAATGGTAAATAAGGGCCAAGCAAGCAGATGGGATGCTGTGGAGGTGCACGGCTCTAAAAGGCAGCCCTGGCTAGTCACCCAGATAAAGAAACAAATGTCCCCAAGTCCAGCATCTCGGGCCATATCAGAGTCAGTCTATACCCTTGATGGATGTGAATGGACACACTTTGATGTCTGCAACAGCCAGAAGCACGAATCACCCTACCAGGAGCTAAGACATAATTTGGAGTGATAGCTGTGTCCAAGAAACCACTGCTGACCCATACAATGCACACAGCATACTACCTACCATTTCCCTACATCTAAAATATAACCCTCTTTTTAAATTGAAAAATGAGAAGTAAATGGTTTGGATGCACTCATTATCAAGTTTATATGTATCTTGGCACCTAACACAGACTCACATAATTGGTTTTTAAAAATTCAGTGACAAGAGAAATCAATGCAACAAATGCTAAAATATAATCATCACTAAAGACATTCATCCTAAAGCAGAACGACACTGTGAAACTTAGAAATACGCCATTAGTCACCGATTCACAAGCAGAACAAATTTCAATTTCTAGAAACAAATTGACTTAAATTCCTTCAATAATAATAAAGTATCAGGATAAATACAAGGTATAATAAAATTATTTTAAGAATTACTTCCCTGAAAATTCAGAGCTTATGACCTTTATCAAAATGTTTGCATTTCATTACTTACCAACTGACAGCCTTCCAGGGACTTGACAAGCTGAGCGTTCTGACAGGAGAGAATTGAACCAGCCAAATTCAGCATTACACACACTGCAGAGAGCAGCATGAAAAAGGTTATCTGGAAACAAACCAAACAAAAAATTGATTATCCACTTGGAGAGGCTTGAAAGAAAAAATGATTTGGCTCTGAAAATGCTTCCAGTTGATCAAATAATTACATGAATAACATTTATATGTTTTAAAGGAAGGTATTATTCCTCAAGATTTCAAATTCATATTACCTTAAATCAAACGGAAAAGGCAAAAGTTCTGAAAAGCCATAGCAAGCTAGCATAATTTTGTTTGAAAGCTACCGTAAACTATTTTAGAAGTTAAACTTGAAGATACTTTATAGTCTGGTCTTAAAAGTTTTACATATCCTCAAAAAACAGCAAGTTAAAATTACTAAAGAAAATCAAGTGAAAAGTTTACTTATTACAAACTCTGTTTCTTTTTATTTTGATTATGTATGTATGTATGTAGTTGAAATATATTTGGCACATAATATTTAAGTTTATGGTGCACAGCATGGTGATGTTGCAATTCAGGTATCTTTTTCGTAATCGCTTTTCACTTCCTTCGCATATATGCCCAGAAGTGGGACTGCTGGATCATGTGAAGTTCTATTTGTCACATTTTGAGGAACCGCCACACCGTTATTCAAAGGGGCTGCAGTGAAGCCATGGGGAGAGACAACATGCTCAGCTTTCACTGGGGTTCTAGAAAAAGTCTAGAATTTCAGGGGTTTTACTCTTTATTGATGAATTTAGTAAGAGTGGGAAATTAAAATGCAGAAAGTGAAACAAAAAAGGAGGAGGAGGAGAAGAGGGAAGAAACATAAGTGGATTCCAACTGCACTAAGATGCTCAGCTCATGGCTAAATGGACAACACTCAGAAATGAAGTGTTGGACCCCAATTCAATTTATACCCTGACTCAGCAGAAAAACAATCACACCCTATCAATTGTCATTTTCTTAATCCTTTGATCCTCAACCCTATATAAACAGTGCCCACAAAGTTCCATCTTCAGAGTCTGATTTGAGAGCCTTGCTGCAGTCTCCCGTCAGATGATCTTGCACTAAACTGGCTTTTTATCTGAAAAGTGGGTGACAGGGTTCTTGGCTTCTGTGCCATTGGATGGCAGGCCTTAATCTGGCAACAGAAATAGGAAAAGATCTGAAAATTACACCAACACCTCACATCATGCACAAAATGATTAAAAATGAGAACTAAAGCATTGAATAATTAGAAGAAAATACTAGAGGGCCTCCCCGGTGGCGCAGTGGTTGAGCACTGGGTTGCCAAGCTGCCGCAGCCTGTGCAACGCCGGTTCAATCCCCGACTACCAGGCGAGGGTCCCACATGGCGCGCAGACCTCTCCTGCCGCCCGCTGCTCCCCTCAGCAGTGTACTTTGTCAATCTGCCTGTTCTGCTCTCCACTCTGTCGCTGGTGAATTCTCTCGCCCATGCTTCTGACTGTACCCAGTGCTTGTATAAATAATAAATAAATAAATCTTTAAAAAAAATAGAAGAAAATAACTATAATATCAGAATTAGGGGGAAAACTTTCAAAGCACTACACACACACACACAAATAGCCCTTAAAAAAATAAAATAGGGCCTCCCTGGATTGTGCAAGGGATTAAGCATAGCACTGTGAAGCTGTCCGCAACCTCTGTAGCACGAGTTCGATCCCCAGCCAGGGAGCTACCCACATGGCGCAGCAGACCTCTCCTGTCTCGCCTGCTGCTCCCCTCAGCAGTGTATTTCAGTCAGTCTGCCTGTTCTGCTCCCCACTCTGTCTCTGGTGAATCCTCTCACCCCTCGCACCTCTGGCTTATACCCCAGTTCTTGTATGCATAAATAAATAATCCTTTAAAAAATAAATAAAACAGTGATGATTTTGAGACATTAAAATGAGATAACCTATATGGCAAAAAATATATATAAAGAAAATGTAAGGGAAGGTATCTGCCACCTACACTTGCTATAACAATGGATTAATAAACAGAATAAAGAAATCTAACAAATCAATTAAAATAGAAAAGATCTAGGAGATATAAAACCTGGTGGCATAAAAAAGCAAAAGACAAGATGAAGATGCTTAAAGTTAGTACTAAGAATGAGGAGCAACTAGAATAAACTATCACCACACCCCCACAGGATGGCTGAAGATACTGAAAGGCCAAATTTTCACAAGGGGCGCAAGGGCAGACTGGCAAAGAAACTCCAAAATGTTGGTGGGAGTGTAACTTAACACAAGCTCGTGAACGATTTGGCAATGCCCCGTGATTGCTCTTTTTGTTTCTGGCTGGAGAATCTCTCTTGTGTGCCGAAGGAAGCACTGTACACTGCCTGCAATGAGCAAAACATTGGAAAGAACCGATCTAAACATCAGGGAGTGGATAAACAAACTGCTATCTTCCCCGCCCCATGAAGGAACAATTAAAATGAACGAATCTGATCTACAAAAACAATGGTGAGTGCAAACAGCAAGTTGCAAGAACAGTATAATCTCACTTATATAAGTTGCAAAAGCTTACACAATGATTTTAAAAAATAAACCTATATATTGTTCATATAGACATATAAGTATTCAATCTTTTTTATACAATGTCATAGCCACAAATTTTTGTCACCTCTGAAAGGGTGAGGAGATAAGGGCTTGATCTGCTCTGTTTTTATTTACATAATATGCATAATTACATAATAATAATGTATCATATATTATAACATATATAATTATATATCATATATCATATATTATACATTATATTCAATGCATATATATATATATTTAATGTGGGACCATAATTTTTTTTAAATAAGTATTTTACATCATTCTTCCCTTTTGTACAATATATGTGTGCTTTCTCTTCTCAGGTGTAGTCCCCATTTGTTTATATTTTAAATCCAGAAACAAAATGGTAATTTGATGATAAATTATTAACACTTCTGAGAGAAAAGCGTGGGAGAAGGTATTTGCCTCAGTTAATAACTACTGCCAAACACGGTCCCTCTTCCAGTGGTGCAGGGGCCCAAACTCATGCCACCAGCTTTTGAGAAAAGGAGCCATTTAATGTGAAGCCCCAGGATAGAAGACTGGAGGCAGGGCTCTCAAATCAGTCTCCCTGAGGATGGGCTTTGGGCAGTACTTGTGGGACTGATGAACAAAAACAGATATTGCACATTGGAAGTCCAATAAGTTGCTTTCTGCTAAATGATGGCGTCACTATAATTTGGATCCAGAATTGCAACAGAGCACCCCTTGCTTCTGAATGCTGCCCATCAAACCATGAGCAAGGCATCTTAGCTCTGTCTTCCATGGCTATTTCCAGTCCAACAATGGGATGTCATCTCCAGCACAGTGACTAGGTCTGTGCTGAAACACAACTCGTCAACCTATGAAAGACTGGGGTTATTTTTCCTTGTTTAAAATGGATGGAGGGTATTCTTGTCCCATTATTATAAACCCGGCCTGCTGTTCTTACGAGATAAGCAAGAAGAGACCGTCGTGACCATCGGTTTCAGAACTGACAGTGGGCACTAAATGAGTTTTATCATACAGATGAAAATGCCAATAGTTAAAACACACCAGGGGAGAAAGCAGAAAGGGGACGAGTAAGCTAAGCCATAAGATACCTTATATGCTGAAATAAAATGCAGAGCAAGAAGGGCCTTTGAGGACTAACTATATTCTACTGATGAAGTAAATACAAATTCCAGTTCTACAGAATGAAGTAAAACCTGGTGACCTATCGCAGTTCTACCAGGCTTCTGGATGACAGCTGGTGCAGTGTTGTCAAGTCCATTTTTTAAGCCCAAGTGTTTACCTCATTTGTTGCTAAATGTGAAGCACCTTTCTCACGGTTATAATTATTCACCCAAGGAAATGTTTGTTGAATCTGTGTTCTTGCATTCTGCCATAGGCTATAGGGGAAGACAGTGAGACTATGCACTCTTCAGGCAAATTTAATCCACATAACACAGCATGATAAAGTTATTATTTTTCCCATTTTACAGATAAATTGAGATTCAACTTAAAACTCCCTATCGGCATGCTGACGACGGCATAACCATAATTCAGTTACCTTTTCACTATACTCTGATGCTCTCTCAAAGCCCGGGGACCGTCTTATGTGTCACTTTTCAGTTCTCACTACTCCCTTTGGGCTGTTTTCCCATATGCCATGAGTTAGGTTTTTCCATAAAACCCTAATAGTCAGATCAGAAGAATATTGTTATAATTTTTGAACCAGCAACTCTAGGCCTAGGAATGATTATGAACAAGATATTTTCTTTAAAAAACAAACAAAACCCCCAAAAAGGTAATAATAGTTCCTGTTCAAGAAGAATGAAATTTCTTAAAATTTACAAAATTTTAAGAAAGTGACAACTAAAATTCTCCCTACCAACCACTCTGACAAGGGTTTGATATGTATTTCTGTATCTAATTAGCAAAATGCCACACAAATATAGGCATCATCAACCCATTCTACAGGCAAGGAAGTAATCTGTACAAGTAACCTGCTTAAAATCATATAGCAAATTAGCGGTGGAGCTTGGATCTGAATCCAGACAGTCTGATTTCCAGGTAGGCAGGGTAAATCACCAAAGCATGGCTAATCACTGAAGATTTTTTTGTTACTAACAACAGTAAGAAATATATTTTACATCATGATCCATTATACACACACACATATTATTTACCTTAACAACATGTAGTAAAGATTGTCCTTTTTTTTAAAAGATGCTGGTTTTGAGTCATGGAATTAATTTCTCATGACTTACAATGAAAAAAAAGTGCACAAGATTAACTGCTTCAAACACACAGTATTTATTATAATATAGAAGCAAAAATGGAGAAAACTATGTGGAAGTAAAGAGCCAGCTACAGCGCTAATTACGAATATAAAATTATTTGGAGGAAAAAATATGTACATTGCTTAGAACGTTGCATAATACTTACATATGTAGAAGACATATAAGGTAGTTGTTTTATGGTAAAAAAATATAGGCAATTACATTTTTATTTTTAATTTATAAAGGCTTTTATTTTTCTTTACAAACTGGGGTGGTTAAAAGGCCAGATAAAAGCCACTTTCCTTTTATTTTCTTGGCACTAAAGAATTTCCCGATGTGTTCTTTCTAAAACATCGTTCCAGATCATGGTACAAAGTGTTCCTATCCGTTTTACAAAGTTAGCAAGATTTTATACCAAAAAATAGACTGTAAAACAAACAAAATAAACCTCCTGGCATTTTTATAAATGAAGCTTTGGAACCAAATAAGTTATATTATTTAAAACACAGAACTCTGCAAACACATCCTAAAGCTGAACACGCGCGAGCGTCACAGAAATGTGCCTCCCTCCCGCCTCCATCGCATTGGCACCGCGCCTAGGCCCTCCCCCAGGGGTCCAGCTCGCATCTCAAGAGGAGGGGGCTGGGCCCCCAGGCTCGGGTCTGGCCCTGGCCTCCTCCTCCGCCAGAGCCTCACAGTACTGCGCCGGCCAGTCTTTGGGGTCCTGGTTATGCACTTTGGCCACAAACTTAAGAACTTTCATCTTGCTGGTTTCCAGGTTGGTTCGCGGGCCCCACTGGAACTCATAGTCCACGGGGTCCGTGTGGGGTATCCGCCGGTACTCCAGGTAGCGCTGCCGCACGAAGTCCTCGGTAATGAGTTTCTTTGGGTCCCCGAAAATCAAATGCTTCTTGGTGGGGTACACCCCCAAGCGCCGCAGGAAGTCCCAGACCTCGGTCTCCTTGATGGTGTTGCCCTTCATGAAGATGAGCCCCAGGACGATCATCAGCAGCCCGGTGGTGGGCGTGCCCTGGTCGCCCCTCACCTCCGCGTCCTCCTCCACGGGGTCCAGGGTGTTGATGAGGATGTAGCTGTTGCTCTTGGGCTCCAGCTCCACCAGCCGGTACCCGAACACGTACTCGAGGCGCTCGGCCGCCAGCCGGAGCAGGTCCGCGAAGATGTCCTTGTACTCCCCGACGACGTGCTTCAGGATGTCCGTGCGCTTGATCGGGATCTTCTTCTGGTCCTTAATGAGCAAGAACTGCACCAGCTCGGCCACCTTCAGCTCCAGCTGCTTCGGGGTGCGGGGCCCCACGGCGGGGGCGGCCTCCGAGCGGCGGCCGCCGAGCGACGCGGAGCTCCGGGCCTCCTGGGCGCCGCCGGCTCCGCGGGAGGTGCTCGGCGCCTCCTCGGAGACCCCGCCTCTCGCGACGCGGCTGTCCCCGCCGCGGCTCCAGTCCCTGTCCCTCTCGGCCAGGGCGCTGGGGCGGCCCCGACTCCTCGGCTTCTGCAACATGTCGCCGGCGGCGGCGGAAGCCGGGGCCGGCAAAGCCCCCGCGGGCCTCGCCGTAACGGGCGGCGGGAGAGCGGCGCGTCGCAGGGATTGTGGGTCGGCGCCGGCTCTGGGCGGGGCCAGCGCGGCGCGTGGCGTCAGAGCCTGCGCGCGGCGCGGGCGGAGGCTGCGCGTGGCGTCACGGAGGCTGCGCATGCGTCCGGGCAAGTACCCCGCCGCCGCGCAGGCGCGGACAGAAGCGTGGCTTCCGGTGCTGCCTGCAGGTGCGGGCACCGGTTTTCGTTCATTGAAAGCGTCCTGCGCACTAAAACATACAAATAGAGAGTAAGAGCCGGAACTCAAGGGTGCTCCGCCGAGCAGAGCCGCACAGCCCCAGGCGATGCGCTAGAAATAGTGAGACTTAAAATTGGGACTATTTCTAGGTAGAGGCGACCAATGAGTGGGAGGAAAATGAGGTGAAGAGGAAGGCAGGTGCGTGGAAGTGAAGCAAAACCATTTTTTTATACACAAAACCGGACATAAATTAAAAACCCAGGGGATTCCCAAGTTCGCTGTGCCTTCCACACGCCCCTCAAGTTTAAACCCTCCTAGCCACTCAGCAACTGGTACTTTAATTCTCCTAAGTGTCTATTAAAAACATGTTTGGTGAGGGCAGACTTACCTCCCAAGCAGTACTTTCACTATGTCAGAATTTATATTTTATGCCTTACAATTCCATCAAAGTAGGACCAGTCCACACAAAGCATGTTTTGAAGTGTTTATGCATATTCAAAAGAGCTCATCTTTTGGAAAGCACAGCTTATGTAACTGCCTTGGGCCCACAACCACAATTTTAGCACGAATGGTTAAGAACACTGTTAAAAACAGAAATGTGCTCTCTCAAGAGACTGCCATTTAATTTTTGGCATCACTGATCAAGAATTGCAATAATGTGAATCTCTAACATTTCTTAATTCTTAGTATGTCAGCCTCAGGGCTCAACAAGATAAGAAAGATAAGCTGGGGTATCATCCTTCATAATCTGTGGTGTGTGCACTTTGTATTATTTTAATTGTGCAACTCTAATAACCAAAATGAATCACTTCATTAACTCAAAGCATCAGCAATCTGCTGCCACGACTTCTAGAGATCTTAGCGAATGTGTTCCTGTTTTGTTTACTGACTTGTAAAGAAGAAACTGAATTTCCCCCTTTGTCTTTTTATGGCTACCCAGAAAGTAGATAAACTCTTAGAAGAACCAAATCAAATTGAGTTCTTCTTTAATGCAAACATATTCAAAGGAAAGCAATTCAAAACACATTATTTGAATAATAGCATCAAAACACAACCTTATTAAAATTTCATTAAATGTTAGTAGCATAAATTTTTGCTTGTAATTCAATATGAAAAAGCAATCTGATAATGGCATTGGAACTGCAATAAGTATAAAATGATATTCCATGTTGTGATGTGAGTATGCTAAAATCTGGTAGACTATGAGTAATAACTTTATGTTCCACACAAGAGCCAACAATACACCCTCAAGCATCAATCGTAATGACAGAAGCCTACTAAGAAACACAAATATATCATCAAGACATTCATTTTTCTACAAAGAAAACATTCATCTGCCTCAATTTTCTTGAAAACTAAAATTTGGACTCAAGTTCAAAGAGATTGCAATCAAGAATGCTGCAAAAAGTTCCTCCAGAAGGATCAACTGTACTCTGAGTCAAATTTTCAGCAACCAAGAGACAACTGGGAAGTGGAAAATAACATGAAAGCTGTTGCCAGCAACTGGGCTGGTTTCTCTCTGTGTTTTTTTTTTTTCTTATTAAGCTGTTCACTTAAATTATCAAGCAGCCCCACAGGTCAGGCTACTCCCTGTGACTGTGAGAAGTAGCAATGTCTGTCAGCAGCATCCGTACTCAGAGTCCAGATTGTCATTATTCAAAATGGATGAGAAAAAAATACCGTTTTGATGTCCTAAACAACTCTCTATACTCTATATAGAAAAATGCAGGTGAGAAAATACAGACATAAAACAAGAGACTTATGATGAGAACTGGGCACTGCAGGGAGAAATCACCCAGACCCACATTCCACTTTACAGGATGCAATGGGTATTTGTGATGATGATGATAATAATAATAGTAATGATAATAATAATAACACTAACACTATTAATAAATATAACAACAGTTAATGATCAAAGTTCAGACCCTCCTCCCAAGTGGCCTATATGTATTTATTACTTCATTTAATCCCTGCATCAAACTGGTGAGGATGGGCCTCTATTGTTTCTCTTATCACAAATGAAGAAACTTAGGCACAGAGAAGACTGTTTATGGTTTTGAGGTCTTACAGCAAGTAAGTGGTAGACATGGGATCTGAACTAAGGCAACAGGCCTCCAAAGCCTGCTCTTAACTATATGCTGTTGCAGAAAGGACATATACTTGAAGGAGTAAGGGCTTGGGAATCTGATGGAACTAGATTAGAAACCTGTGTGCTACTGGGAAAATTACTGACATTCTTTCCATTTTCAGTCTCCCAGAGTCAGAGAACTAAGTGAGACAGATATTCCAAGTACTTAGCACATGGCTAATAATTAATAATTTGCCTCTTCCCATGGGGTTTATGTGAAGGAAAGTATTTGAAGAGTTTTCAAAGTTGTAGAAAGATATTTACTGCAGTGAAACACATGTACACACAAAAATCAGAAATAAGTTTGGAAAGAAACTTATTCAAGATGCTATTCGTTACTTTTAGAAATAAAATTCAATCCTGATTTTTTTCCTCCAGAGATAATAAAAAAATAAATTCTGAATGAACTTCAGTAACATGCCACAGCAGTCATGCAACATTCAAATTTTCATTAAAGTCAGTTGGTAGGTTTTGTTCAGCTAATGAAATGATAAAAACAGGTGGTTTATAAAGAAAAACATTTTCAAACTTCATGTTAATAATTTATAGCTTTATAACTAAACCAAAAAGTAAAAAATAATATCAAAATTCTTTAAGGGAAAATCTAAGCTATCACACTTGGCAAAGAAATGCCTACTACTGATTGTTCTTTACAGATCTCTAAGTAATTAAAGGTTTTATTTCATCTCCTTGGTGGCAAATGCCTGCTAAAAAGCTCTAATCATCTTTATAATTTACTGCTTTCTCCTCTTCATTGAATGGTATTTCTTACAGAACCAGAGAGAGGCTTTAAATTTTCTGACAGCAATCCAGTGCTAAAAGCAAGTAAGGATTATTCGAGAATGAAAGGGATGGTTCAAGGATGCAGCCACCATAGAGGAGCGGCTTTGCTGACATTTCCAGGGGAAGCCGATTGGCAGCATGTGAACAACTGATTTGGGGGCTACTCATTAGGGAAAGCAGTTCAGATACTGTACTGATTGCAATAAAATCCCAGAGTCTACTCACTAGTAACAAAGATTCATCCTGGTTAAATCACATGATGGGATGACCTAAGGACAGTGTCCCTCTTTCAAGAATACTTCACCTGGCAACAGAGCTTTCCTTGGCTGGTGGAAGTGGGTGGAGAGGTGGGTCTTGATGAGATAGCACTTTCTAAGCATTGCAGCCACTTGGCCCAGCGCCTCGTTTCACTCTCTTTTCAAGGAATGTAAATCAGGGCCTTTTACTTATGAAAATTACTAAGGTCTATGAAGTTATAATATTAGGATCACACAGGTCAACAAATTTATTTTTATTTACTTGCTGTTGTTCCCGGTCTGTATCCTTTCCTGGATGCCCATGGTTCAGGCCAGTCACAGCTATTGGTTTGCAAGTCTCATCAACATCCTTGCAGGCGTTTATGTGGGCTTCTTCCTCTGAGCTGACATGCTGAGGGGTAAGTTAAGCCTAGCCAACTCTGCCTTCACTCAGGAATAACCTGCCTCATGGTGGAGTCAACTCAAAAGAGATCAAAATGATGGAGAAACATTCCTAATGCTGCCACCTGAATCCCTGGAACTCTTCCTTTTGCTTATCTGCTTGAAGTTGGTTTCTATCACTTGAAACTGAATGTGTTCCATTATGTGGGCAGGGGAGATAAGATGGGTGTAAAGAGGTACTAAAAGAACAAGACTTTGTTTAAAAGTAATGTGAGCTAGAAAAGGTTAATATCACCAATAAGGATATTCTAACATAATTACATGTGATCTGAATACAATTTTAGCTGCTAGTAACACAGGAAAGGAAGACAGAAATCAAGACTTTTTCCATATAGAAGGCTTTTAGGTGGGCACATCTGTTATGCTCGCATTTAATCCTCTCTGCCTGAGTGTGATTATTAAGGGCCACTTCACAGAAATCCAGCCATTGCACTGACAGTCATATTCATTCAACTTTGTCCTGCTTAATCTAACTTCAGGATATTTTTCTACATTTATAAATAAGCTATGCAACCCAAACAACAAATGACTGGCTTAGGAATGAACATATGACTAGAGATGTGAGGAGTAAGTGGGGAGAAGAGAGTACTCCGAAAAATGTTTACTTGCTCTCAAAAAGGGTTTTACGGGGGAAAAAAATCCTCTTCTATTGGACACTTTGCCTCAATTGCAATTATCTTGTGACTACGAGTAGAGTTGAGCCAGCCCATCAAAACTCTGAAACTGGTAGAGTGGAGAGCTAGAGAAAAAAATCCGGTTCCTTGCTGACCTTTCTTTCTTTTTCTTTTTTCTTTTTTTAAAGATTTATTGATTCATGCATACAAGAGCTGGGGTACAGGCCAGAGGTACAGGGGGTGAGAGGATTTACCAGAGACAGAGTGGGGAGCACACTGGCAGATGAACTGAAATACACTGCTGAGGGGAGCAGCGGGCAAGTCAGGAGAGGTCTGCTGCACCATGTGGGTTGCTCCCTGGCTGGGGATCGAACTTGTGCTGCAGTGGCTGTGGACAGGTTCGTAGGTTGTGTCTTAACCCCTTCCGCCACCAGGGAGGCCCTCCTTGCTGACTTTTCTAGGCTGTTGAAGCAACTAACACTGGAGCAGCCCACCTCTGCATGTGTCTCTTGAGATAATAACT